TTTAGGATTTTTACTTTTACTACTTTTGAAAATACATGTTGCTTACGTAGGATTATTAAATCAGATAACAATAACCTCATTACCACAGAGCCCCTGCTAATCATGTGAAGTCCTAGCTTTGTTGACACAAAGCTATTCCCACTGAAAAAACAACAAAAACATCACGGCTTCCTTAGGCTGCTGGTTAGAACACTATTCAACACGTTGTAAAACATGATGTGTCTTTTTAAGAAAGAAGAAAGGTACAAAACTCATACTAAATAATATTCAGAATGAAAGTGAGCTCCAGTAGACTTCGATCAGTGGTTTAAAATAATCTTTAGAAATGATTTAGGGATGAAAGGTTGCAGGGAAACCTATGTCATCAACATGTGTTCATTCTGGCTTCTGTCTTGTTCCGACTCCTCAGGAATGGCAGTTGGTGGGGAATATGGTTCAGTGTTGAGGTTAGTAACAGCGTATGTTTTTCCTCTTACAGACTTGCTTCTCTTCGAGGCAGCTGGTGGAGATATTTCTACAAAACAGCCACATCACATCCATTTCTAAGGAGGACTTTAAGCAAATGAGTCCCGGCATCATCCAGCAACTTCTCAGTGGCTCTTGCCAGCTGCCCAAGGAGCAGCAAGCGAAGCTGCCACCCACCGCTCTGGAGAGTAAGTTCTGCTTCTTCACTCGGAAAGCAGATGAGCACAATATGTGTAATAATAATAATAATGAATGCAGGATACTTACCATATACCAGGTACTGTTAGATGCATTTTACATTTCCCAACTCATTTAATCCTTCCAACAATACTATGAGCTAGGTATTATTGTTATCCCCATTTTACAGTTGAGAAAACTGAGGCACAGAGAGATTAAGTGACTTTTCTAAGGACACATATCTGGTAAGTGATGGAGTTGGGATTCAAACCCAGGCAAGCTGGTCCCAGAGTCCTTGTATCTAATCTCTATGCATTTCAATGGATATAGTACCTTTTGTAGACCATTTATATAAATTGATTTTGTCCCCTATATTTAACTCAGTCACAGACCAACTTAGAAGTCGTTAGTTGAGAAGTGACATGGTATAAAAGAAAGGACATAAGCATTGGAATCAGAAACACAGAGTTGAGTCATGCCTTCTTCCCTCAGCCACTCTGTGATCTTAACCAATCTCTCTACTTCTCAGATCCTCCAGCAGAGATCTCCTACCAGGCTTCCTTTCTCACATCAGGGCATGTAGTAACAGTGAAGGCACACTGGCATCAACCAAAGCACATTGGGCTGCTCTGGGATGGAGGTGACCCATCCAGGGAGGTACCAGCCTTCCAGATGTGGCTGGCAGCCCCAGGAAGTGAAGAGATCAATATTTGGACTTGCCTGTATCCCACGGAGTCATTGCAGTAAATGAGATTTATCACAGGGCTTCACAGGGTCCCTTAATATAATGTGTATAAAAATGTGTTTAGTAAATTTAAGGCACTGTATATTTAAGAGTCCAAAATGAAAATTATTGGCCTCAGAACATCCATGACACACAATAAAAATTTGACAGTGAACACACGCAACCCTTAAAGTATTACCATTGCTCTGAGGACCTATATATATACATTTTTCAGAGCTGCTTTTGTTTCTCTTTGAAATAGCCTGCCACTCCCATCCTAGCTGAATGGTTCGGCTACTCACAGTGGATTCTGCAGCATCAAATGGCTCTTTGGAAGATTTTATATGAGCAAAACCATGCCAGGCCTAAATATTTAAGACTCCACATTCACTGATGGGAAAAAGGCTACATTAATAGTGAGCAGCTAAATAATTCAGCACTTGGCGGTCAGTCAGTGATGCTCACAGAATGGATGAGAACAGAACTGTGGCACCAAGGAACTGTCGTGGGTGTATTTATATTCGACCACCTGACATGACACCTGATACCTGCAGGACATTCAGAAAAGTGTTTGGAACTTGAGGTCTATGAAAAAAGTTATATCCCCTTTCGAATGAACTTCTGGACCCTTCTAGAAAATAATCTTGCTGAGAAAAATATGAAGTCACACGTTAAAGAATCTAGAAAAATATTACTGTCCTCAGTTGAAAATGTTGCATCGTGTAATTATAGGGAAAGGATTGAATCAGTCTTTTGGAGTTACAGAAATGTATGATGTTACATTGAAGAGGGAGGATGGAGAGAGATTATTAAGAAAATATTTTTCAGTATGCAGAAATTCAACCCCTAAGTGCCACCACCAATTGAGTTTCTAGGAAAAAAAGTAGTATGGCCACGTATAGATCAAGAGCTTCAGACCTATTCAAAGTAGCTACTCAGAAGTGGCTTGGTGGATAGGTCAAGTTCAGTTGTAGTAATGGGAAACATGTAGACAGAACGTGTCTGCAAGTTCCTGACTCCAATCAAGACCCCGTGGCACTGATATAGAAACCTGGGGCAAATTAGTAGAGTCCTATGGCCACAAAAGTCAGATTTTATGGTTTTCAGGCTGTCTTTCTCACACGAGAACAGGTGAAATCTAACTCATAGAGGGTCCAAAAAGATTTGATAAGCTCTGATGTTAGGAAATACCCATTCTCCTCCAATTTCACGCTGTGGCTGCCCGCAGGACAAAGGGGACAGGAGTAACAAAAGAATTGAAAAACTTGAAACTTTGCCTTTTGCCTGGAAAATGTCATACCCTAATTTGTCCTTGTGAATTCTTTTTTTTTTTTTTTTTGAGACAGAATCTCACTCTGTTGCCCGGGCTAGAGTGCTGTGGCGTCATCCTAGCTCACAGCAACCTCAAACTCCTGGGCTCAAGCGATCCTTCTGCCTCAGCCTCCCAAGTAGCTGGGACTACAGGCATGCGCCACCATGCCCGGCTAATTTTTTCTATATATTTTTAGTTGTCCGATTAATTTCTTTCTATTTTTAGTAGAGACAGGGTCTCGTTCTTGCTCAGGCTGGTTTCGAACTCCTGAGCTCAAACAATCCGCCCGCCTCAGCCTCCCAGAGTGCTAGGATTACAGGCGTGAGCCACTGCACCTGGCCTGTCCTTGTGAATTCTTGACATTTCATTGACTTTTGTAGCTTCCATTAAAAAAGTGACAACTTTGAATTGTATTAGACACCCCAGGTGCTCATATTAAAATTAAAATGAGAAGAATGTCATTCCCATATACAGACTATTTGGGGAAGGAAAGGGATATGAAACTTGTTTGAAGATCTTTAGGGATGTTTTAATAATGTGGGTATTTATTAGAATGAAATAAAACCTCCAAGTCAGCGTATGACCATTCCAAACTATTTTTAAAATTTTTTTAAATTTAAATTGTGGTAACATACACATGACATAATATTTACCATCTTAATCATTTGTATTTGTATATAGGTAAGTAGCGTTAATTATATTCACATTGTTGTATAACAGATCTCTAGAACTTTCTCATCTTGCCAAGTTGAAACTCAATAACTGTTGAAGAACAGCTCTCCATTTCCCACCCCTTCTACGCCATTTTACAGAGTTTCTGTAGCAGTGAAGGGTGGGGAAATGGAAGTTTGAAAGTTTTTTGCCTCTTCTGAGTACACCACCAAAAACTATTCTAATATTAGGCCCCTGAATAATCTAGAACTTACTGTTCAACAAAGGTCCTCTTAAAATCACAAGCCTATTACCGTGTTACGAGTTGTATTATTAAGATTTAAGGTAAAGGGTGAACCTTCTAGAAAAATACAAGGACAGTGAGACTTGAATACTTTCTATTATAAAAATCTTTAAGAGCATAGTTTCTTAAAAACCACAATGAGCTTTAAGTATTACGATAATAAAATTGCTTGATTTAACTTATTGTGTATCTATAACCACTAAAGAAAATGATGGTTTAATTGTATAATTACCTTTCCTCATCGTTTACAAAAGTTTGCCATGACTTGTCAGTAATTTCTGAATAGTAGAGGCAAAAAGCATTTGCTTTGAATATCTGCGACTGAATGAAAATGATAGCGTGAATAACTCTTTATCTCTATAGCATTTATACTTGATTCTGAAAGTCATTTCTTCTCTCTCTTCTCTCTTCCTTTTCTTCCTTTGTTTCTTCTCTTTCACGTATATTTATTTTTGTTAGAAAGTGAACATTTTAAGTTTATTCAGAATATTAAGAAATCCTGGAAGCCTAGAGACATGAAATAAATTTTAAGGATTATAAAAATTATTGCAAACATCTAAAATGTAGACCATTCATATTTATACTATCAACTGCTATACATTCGCTGGTCAGTTTTCACTAATAAAATCACTCATTTTAGTCATTGAGAATAATAATCCCTTTGGACATGACAAATAATTTTGAGAACTCATCGAAGATAATTCTTCCAAAGGGTGTACTCATTTTTGTACACAGACACAGGTCTACGATGGGGTCACACTTTGTGTTCCCCTATGACACTGTTTCTTGCCTTCGAGAGGTTTAAAATGTGACCAGATGGGAATCATGACTAGTGACTGTCAGTGGATGTTGTAGTTTCAAGTGAGAGAAATTAGTTTCTTTGGGGGTGGGAGGTGAGCTGAACCCTTGCTTGCCACAGGGTAACTTTGAAGTAATAGGGTTATTTGGTGAAAGTCTTGTCTTAGTCCGTGCTATAACCAAATACTGTAAACTGGTGGCTTGTAAGCAACAGATATTTGTTTCTCACAGTTCCAGAGGCTGGGAAGTCCAAGAACAAGGTGCTGGCAGGTTCAATATCTGGTGAGGGTCCACCTCCTGGCTCCTAGACTGGCGCCTTGTGGCTGTGTCCTCACCTGCTGGAGGGGAGTAACTCTGGTCTCCTCAGGCCCCTTATAAGGGCATTAATCCCATTCAAGGGGGGTGTGGAACCCTCATGACCTAGTCACTTCCCATACAATCCACCTCCTAATACCATCACTTAAGTATGTAGATTTCAACATATGAATTTTGGGGAGACACATTCAGACCATAGCAAATCTGTTCATTCTTTCTTGTAAAAATTAAAGCCTTTTACCCCATATAACACTTATTTAAAAATTCCATATCCCTGTTAGCTGTCATTGTGAGACAGATTCTTCTGGCATTTTCAGCAGCTGAGGCGTGAACAGAGGGCATGGATGAGCACTGACTGTTTTTGTGATCTCCTTTAACTTAGAATACGGCTACAGCACAGTGGCTGTGACCCTCCTCACTCTGGGCTCCATGTTCGGGACTGCGTTGGTCCTTTTCCACAGCTGCGAGGAGAACTACAAGCTCATTTTACAGCTGTTTGTGGGCTTGGCTGTTGGAACTCTCTCTGGAGATGCTCTGCTCCACCTCATCCCACAGGTATTCGGCTCTGTTCCAATTCAGGTCGGGTGTGTCTGATTCCTCCTTACATGTATGTAGCCACTGGAAGTATTTATGGGAAATTTTACAGCGACTTCAATGCAGACATACAGCAGTCAGTGTTTTCCATGGAAAGAAACATCATTTCCCGAAAGCCTTTCTGCCCCTGCAGGAGAGAAGAGATGCCCATACATTAGGTTCACCAAATGCTGTTCTTATTTTTGAGATAAAAGAAAGAAAAGGTGATTGGATCTAGATTTCTATTGAGAAAGATTCAGGAAGCATATGCTAATTATCTACAGGGTGTCCCCAAAGTC